CCCCAGTTGACTCCCTCCCCCACTCACATCCACCCCAGCTGACCCACTCCCCCACTCACACTTGCCCCAGCTGACCCCTCCCCTCCTCATCCCATCACCCCCCCAACACACAGATGCTGCCAGACATACTGACTGTCTCCAGCGATTTCTGTTTTTGTTTCAGATCTTCAACATCCGCAGATCTGTGTTATTCCATGTTGTAACTCGCCAAGATCTTCTCGCCTTCAAACAACCGCCAAACCTTAAGCAGACAATCATTCGCAGCAAACTACCCGGCCTTCAGGAAAACAATGACCACAACACCACACCACCTTAACACGCAACCGCTGCAAGACATGTCAAATCATCAAAACGGACACTACCATCACACGTGGGAACGCCACCCACCACATACACGGCAGATACTCATGTGACTTGGCCAATGTTGTCTATCTCATACACTACAGGCAAGGATGCCCCGAGCATATTGATGTAACCATGCATATGCTACGACAACGGATGACTGGAAACCACACAACAATTGCCAGACAAGACTGTTCCCTCCCAGTCGGGGAACACTTCAGCGGTCGAGGACATTCAGCCGTCGATCTTCGGGTAAGCATCCTCCAAGGCGGCCTTCGAGATACCTAACAACACAGAAACTGAGAGCCAAATTCCGTACCCATAAAGACTGCCTCAACTGTGATCTTGGGTTCCTGTTGCGTTACCTGTGACCCCACCACATTATTTTGTATCTGTAAAATGTTCCTTACTGTCCTGTTTTGACACCATCACCTTGGTAAATTGTTATGATCTCTCTACCTTAATTAGTTTGTATGGTTTTGGGTTACTTACTATTTTGGTTAGGCCCTTGTCACGTGGCTCTTATACCTATCATGTTATTCCAGTCATTTGGTTTGTCTCCAGCACCATCTGTTTTTTTTAATATTTAGTAATTATCTCTCTGCCTCATTTAATCGGATTATAGGTCATCCCTTCACTTGTTATTCAGCTGCTGACACTTTACTCAAACCATCTGACACTCTTGATCACCCGCAGAGACCTATTATTTGGCCTGTCAACACGCAACTCACACCATTTGTATGATCTTTTGATCTCTCTGCCCATTGATCTTTCTGCCTATAAATTTGGCTTCTGTGTGTTTCTCTCTCACTTCACTTGTTTCGGGACTATAACCTGGTGATGTCTGACTTCTGACCTCATCCACCCCAGTCCAACACTGGCACTTGCACATCATTGCTCCTGAGTGATACTCAATCTTTGAGGTACTAGATTCCATTCTCATAGGTAGGAACTTTCTATGCTGATGTCAGTTTTAGTTTTCTCAGCAAATATTTGTACATACAGCATCAATGCAGATTTTGCTTCTCTGCATATCCAATAATCATTTTATAGAATTAATATCATGTATTGATTATAGATGCAAATCTGTGGTTAGCACTGCTGTCTCATAGTACCAGGGACTTGTGTTCAATCCACCTCTGGGCTGTGTGAAGTTTGCACATTCTCCCTGTATCTGTGCAGGTTTCCCCAGTGCTCCAATTTCTTCACATAGTCCAAAGATGTGTAGGTTAGGTGGATTGGCCATGGGAAATGTAGGGTTACTGGGATAGTGTGGGTCTTGGTGGGATACTCTTCTGGAGGGTTAGTATGGGCCAAACAGCCTGCTTCCACATTGTGGCTTCTGTATATATTACATTAATCACAATATTATCACTTAAGTTCATTGGTATTGGAGTGGGTTCTGGTGTAAGCTGAAGTTCCTGTAATTGTTGGCATTGTAAATCATTCTGAAACCATAACACGTGGGGATAGTTTGCCACCTAACGTTGCAACTGCTTTGTTAAATGACACATTTTTTTCTCCAGGGTGTGCCTGGAGAAACTGTTTCTTTCATCCTATCTTCAATTCAAATCAAAATTTCAATATGCTCTGTAGTTGTTGCTTAAACAACAGAGGTAGGTACGACGAATAAAACTGAAAGAATTGTAGATGCCGTAAATCAGGAACAAAAACAGAAGTTGCTGGAAGCTCAGCAGGTCTGGCGGCATCTGTGAAGAAAATATCATAGTTAATGTTTCGGGTCCTTCCTCAGAACTGAATATTTTGTGCATAATCCTGTTCATGATTTAAAATTCAACAATTTGTCTTCCCAATTTGGAGCATATTTATCCAGAATGAAAACATTGTAATTTCTAGACAAATCTTGATTGTCTCCATTTCTAATATTTTCTTGCAGATAGAAGTTAATTTTAAATTCACAATAGATGATTTGTGATTATTAGCTGTCTGGATATGTACATGCAATGAGATAATACACATCTGTGAGAAGGGAACTAATAGTTTCTTGGACAGCTGGCAGCTGAAGTAATTTAATTATTTGTGTCAAATTACATTTTGTATTCAACATTAGCGTTAAAAACGTGAAAGTTGCCAGAGCCTGTGAGTCTCTTTTGGGTTGATTCTAGACACAATCCCACAGCTAATCAAGAAGCTATTACACTATCTGGATGTAAAGTTGATCAATTATATTCATGCATATTTAAAAATGTATTGCTATGTTCTGTGCTGTTCAAAAAATCTGATGTCTACTTTGAAGAGATGGTAAGTACACATGAGCTGCAGTTTTAAAATGCTTACATGCCTATTTCTTACAGAAGTGGACAGGACTGAAGAACCTGCAGAATTCGGATTTTTGTTTTGGATTCTATTTGCTAAACAGTTTAGATAATGATGCAATAAAAGCTCTGAATTGTTGTTTGTTTGACATTTTGTATTTCGTTGTGTAATCTTATTCATTTCAAAAATTCCTAAATATTATTGCCCTGAATTATTGACAGAAGTGTAAAGGCTTTAAATTGCTGAACTAGATGGGGATGAATGGTGGATATCATGTTTCAGGGTTTATGAATGCTTCGTTAGGAATTTTAGTATGACGTACATTAAAGTACTACACTTAAGTTAGAGTTTGGTCTCCAGTGATCAAATGGTCAGAATAAGAGGGATGGAAAATCTATATTAAAGTTAGATAAGCCACTTTGCGCTTAATGCTTTATGCATAATACTCCAACCTGAGAGAAAGATTTTATTGTTAATGTTCCAGGTAAGTGATTGGGTTACTATGCAGATATGACATTTATATGAGCCATCCAGGCATATTGTATCTGGTTGGCTGTATTTGATAACAGCAAATAAATGCTCTGAAGGGCTACAGACCTAGGGCTAGTTTAATTGGCATGAACCCATAGACTGCAAGTGATTCAAGAATCAAATTGCTGGTTCCAGGGGAAATGACCAAACCAGTCTGGAATATTTGATGAGAGGAATAGACAGAAACGGGCAGAAACAAGTTCAGAATAAGCAGCAATGCTCAAGCAAACAATGCCATTTTTTTGGGGGGGAGGGGGATGAGGAATAGTACAATATCAAGTTGAAGGGCAGTGGAATTGGTGAAAAATGTTTCTTTATTCATTGATTTTCATGTTGCAAAGCAAACTAGTTATGTGACTTGTTTGCAACCTGATTTGAAAGACGTATCAAACAGTCTGCTGTTTGGAAGACTGGAGAAGTGCATGTAAGTCGATCCTGTCAGATACCAGAAATGTTGAAGTTAACTATCTGAAGCACAGCATGAATTTGCAACAGTGTAGTTAATATAATTGCTGGTGTGGAATATCACAATACGAGGATAACTGCTAATCCTATGGCTGACTGCTCTCATTCATTCATTTTGCTGTGAACATGAAAAGAGTCATGGATGTTCTATAATGGTTTCAGCTGGTTACTGCATAAATTCCATTTTTTTATGAGCATGAAGACAAAGACTAGAATGAACAATGTTATCATAGAGTAGGGTCTATGAGAAATGCTGGAAATGTAATGGAACTAGGGAACATGTGCTGGTTATTATTAAGAGCTAAATGGGTGAGAGCATGTGAATAGGTAATTGATTCAGAAACATAGTGATTAAGTGGTGGAAGACAAGTGACTATTCCATGGCTTGTTTGAATGAAACAAAAGTGTGACTGACACTATTTACTAAGACAGTACCCTCTAATGAATAGTGTCAGGCAAAAATGAACTTGTTAGGAGGTGAATGTATTTCTGTATTCACCAACAAGAGTTTATGGATGTTCATAATGATGATCATATTCCTAGATTTCCTATAGACTTGTTGAATTTCTAAGTTTTTTTTGAAAGAAGACATACAGCCAAAAAATGACCAAGAATGTAAATTTAGAGCAATGTAATTCAGTGACAGTATGCACATGCTCAGCCTTGAGGGAGACACTGGAATTTCACATCAGAATGATGTCAAAGGAAGCTTCAAAGAGAAGGACTTCAAAAGGGAGAATAGTGCTGCAATCTGAAGACTCATTAACGGTGGGTTATCTTGGACTAAGAACATGATGGGAGAGGAGAGAGCATTCTGGGAGATAGAGACATGTTCATTTATTTCCTCTTCCAAGCATATACAGGACTGAGGAATAAAAGTCAGTTTCAACCTTGGACTGTGTGTGCCAGTGGGTGAAGGTGTATGCTGTTAGGGTCACAAGTGAGAATGCCTTTAATTTACACTGTAGGTAAAAAGAAAAAAATGCCTCCCTCTCTTGCCAAAAAAAAGTGATCCAGTGGGAACAGGACAAAGGCCTTTCAGTTGGCCTGCAAGACCAGCATCTCAAACCAACCAATATTGGTTTTATTGATATCACCCAGTATAAAGGCTGCAACATCCCATCATCTATTCTTCATCCAGAGACTAAAAAACTAATGTTTTTAAGTTTCATTTTTTTTTTAACTCACCTGTCATTTTTAATCTGGCGT